CTCCCTCCCTCCCTCCCTCCCTCCCTCCCTCTTATCCCCACTCCTTCCTTTCACAAGCTCTCACTACACTGTGAAGGCCAGCTAGGCTTGGACTCTCCTCCAGCTCAGCCTTCCAGCAGCTGGAGTGGGCCGTGTACCCCACGGCCTCCTCTCACCGGCTACACTGATCCAAATGCCATGAACACGGAGGAAGGAGAAAGAAAAGGAGTGAACTGGGCAGAAGTAATGGGCTCCTCCCAGAGAGGGGCCAGGGAGTGGGACTAAGGGGGTGTAGAGCCAGCTCTCCAAGACTTTACTTCCTCCCAGGGGGTAATAAGAACCTGGATGGCAGGGAACGCGAGGGCAAGGGAAGACATAACTGCTCATTCTCCGTTTACGCCTTGTTCACCAGTCCCTGAGGCCCTCTGAGTCACGTGACAAACAGACTACTGCTGTGGCTGTCCGCACTGTCTTTCTTGGAATTCCATTTGGATGAAAACTAAGTATTTTCTGAACTTGACTCTCTCCACCTGCACTACAAATGGCACACTTAGAGCACCACCCCAAAGCAGGGTGTGGCGATCGATCGATCGATCGATCGATGCTGGAGGAGCCGCAGCCTGGCAGCCTGGCAGCCTGGCTGCCACCCACCAGCCGCTTGAGTTTTACACACCAAGCCTAGCTCCGCATCAGAAATAGCAAGGGGAGATGGCAGGAACTTGTCATGCTGGCAGACTGAGGACCACCCTGAGTTCCCGGGAGGGCGATATGAGTTCAAAGCAAGCCTGGGATACACAGTGAGACTCCGACCAAAAATAAGGAAAACAAAAATCACAACTACTAGTTTTCTCCTAGTAAGTTCAATAGGGGTTGAAGAAGTGGACAGTTATAACGTTCTTGGGGCGGGGCCTTGCACAGACTTTTGAGAAATGAACCACTGCATCTGCAGTCCAGCTTGGGCACCTGTTTGCCCGCAGGCCAAAATCATAGCTTCAGTGGAGAGTGAGAGCTGTGTGAAATGAGATCATATGGAAGGTCTAGATCTGAAATGTAACAATGGAACTACAAACCTTGATGGTTTGAACCTTCGCCAGGCACAGAGAGGAAAGAGTCAACACACAGGCAGAGGAGCCAACCAAAAGAATGTGCTGAGGCGAGGGAAGACCAAGAGATCATGAAGGATGCAGGGGACACGAGTGAGAGATGCAGGGGGACCAGACAGAGTACAGTTCGGAGTCCTAGAGAGAGCACGGAGGATGAGAATGGGAAGAGTGGTGTTCTAGGGGACAGGGCAGAGAAGTTATACTACAGACGAACTCACCATGCAGGAGATGCCAGAGCAGGAGATGCCAGAGGCTGCAGAAGGCTGAGCCAAAATGAACTAGAGCGGACAGACTGCCCCAAAGTCACCAGGGGACGGCCACAGGAAGAAGAGGGAGACCACTCAAGGGAGATAGTAAAAGGGATGAGAGATGACTCACAGGGCCTGAGAGACAAGAGCTGGCTGGGGGCCCCGCAGTAGAGTACCTGCCTAGCATGTGCGAGGCCTAAATTCCAT